TTTTTTTTTTTTTTTTCCAATTTATTTTGTTGAGGAAGCTGGGCCGTTTGTCCTGTAGGGTTTCCCAAGTCTGGATTGTACTGACTTCATCCTCCTGATGCCGTTAAACATGTTTCTTCTTTGTTTTTCTTATAAATCGGTAGTTGGATCTAGAGTCTCAATGAGATTCAGGCTCAAATTTTTTTGGCAAGACTATTTGGTCTTGGTGATGGAATGTTCTTCCATCAGGAGGCACGTGACGCCCGGTTGTCTCTCACTGACGCTCCTTGTCTAGGCTTGTCCGTTCATTGGGGGTGGCATGGGGTGGGGGCCATATCCTAATTCCAGCCCTCCTTCCTTTTTTCACTGGAATGCTCCCACAGGGAGAAAGTCCCCCTCATCAACATTTCAGGTTGCGTTATTCTTGGTAGTCTTCAGGGAAGTGGGTGGGCTCGCCTTGCCCTTCACACACTCCCACTTGGCCCCTTACGCCTACTTCCCCTGCTGCTCGGCGTGAACAGGGCTGTCAGCTGTGGTTCCTGGCCTTCTCCGGGCTTCTGTGACCCAGCAGATCAGCACCGGCCAGGAGTCTGAGGGCCAGAAAGGAGACTTGAAGGCCCGAGATGAGCATTTCCAAATGATGTCACTGAACCCCAAGCACATTCGTGAAGAGATGCCCTCACCTTCCCAACCCCAGGGGACGGTGGCTGCTGGAATAGACATGATGCACAGTAATCCGCACGCCGTCCTGTGGCTCTCCAAAGACGCTTGAGTGTCCCGGTGGGGAGTGGGGAAGCCCCAGGGAAGCCCCTCAACCAAATACTAACCACCATCGTAATAACTCTGAAGAGAGAGAGCTGAGACTGGCCCCAGACACCAGATCACCAAATCCATTAGAAGATGAAAACATGTGGGGGGATAGGCCTCATCCCCCACCCAAGAGTGGCAGCCGTCTAGTGTAGACACGGCGCCCACATGCCATTTCAGAGGCAAGAGGAGCCCCGGTGTGCAGACGTGGTCTTCCTGCTGGCGTCCTGCCATCCCTTGGGGGTTCCTCTTGGCCTCTGTGGAAGCATGACCCTGAAATATCGAGTAGAGGATTGTCCTAACATCAGAGACTCAAGGGATCTCCCAGCAGGAAGGTCCTTAGAGTTTAGCCTCTCAAATCTACATTTTTCTGTTGAAAACCACAGCCCAGTTTGGAGGAACGCCCTTGCAGGCGGCCCTGGGCCTGTGTCTGTCCTTTGACCGCAAGACTTACCACGCACAGGTGGTGAGCTGGAGTAAGCCCCCCGAGCTCTCCACCCCGAGGTTCCTGCTGAGTCATCTGTCACCTTGGGCTTGGGGCCAGGCTTAGGACCTGGTGACAAGAGACAGGCTGCAGGGTCTGTGAGAAGGCACTGCCTTCAAATCACCAAGACACTGAATTTAGCCAACCCAGTGGGGGGACTGAACCCAGAGATCAGAACACTGGAGCCCCAATTTTTTTTAAAAGCTCACCTTTAGTACAGCATAGTGAATAACATAGGCAATGGTGTAACGGCGCCGAACGGTCCAAGACGGTGGATCCCCTGGCGGTGAGCACAGCGTGACGTGTAGACTTGTCCGAGCACTGTGTGGTATGCCTGAAACCCATGTAACCTCGTGTGTCCGCTGTACTTCCATTTTGTAAAAATCACCTTTAGGATTCATGTCTTGAGACTGCTTATGACCAAATCACTCCCTCAAAGGTCCCTTAAAAGAGTTTGCTAGAGGGACACCTGATTGGCTCAGTCGGTTGAGCATCTGACTCTTGATTTCAGCTCAGAGGGGCACCTGATTGGCTCAGTCGGTTGAGCATCTGACTCTTGATTTCAGCTCAGGCCATGATCTCAGGGTTGTGAGATTGAGTCCTGCATCGGGCTCCAAGCTCAGTGAGGTGTCTGCTTGAGATTCTCTCTCTCCCTCTCCCTCTGCCCTTTGCCCACTTGCGTGCAAGCAAGCTCTCTCTAAAATAAATAAGTAAAATCTTAAAAGAGAGAGAGTTTGCTAGAATCCGAGTCCTGTGGGACAGAAGCCTAGAGACCCCGGCCAGCAGTGACCACTGGCAACCAGGATTCCCACTGCGAAGTGTGATTCCTACTTTCTCAGTGTGGTTGAGGGGTTAGTTCTCTGGCCTACTAAAACTATGTGGAACAGTGTAGCTAATGACTTTGGAAAGGACAACAGCAATGGCTTCCCTTGTTCTCCGCAGGGAAGGCCTTGGAAAAGGCCGGCGGCAAAGAGTTCTTGGAAACAGTAAAGGAGCTTCGTAAATCCCAAGGCCCTTTGGAAGTTGCTGAAGGTAAGCGTCGCCTCGGGCCCGTGTTCCCAACACAGCCTCACCCCCCTCCCTGACAGCGTCACTCGCTTCATGCACAGTGTGCTGAGCAAAATACACCGCAGCCTAGATGAGACCCACCTGTGCTTCTCCCAGAGAACTTGAGCAGGCCTGTGTACACCATTTCACACACCCTGGGGATGACAAAGCGTCTGGGTAGTTCAAGTCAGTTTGCACACGATCAGCCAGAGATAAAGCTATTGGGTAACTTACACTCATCATGAGATTCCAGCATCACCACTGCCAGGATCCGGAGCGCTCCTGTCACCTCCGGTGAACACCCCTCCCTCCTCCCCCCGCCCCTGGCCACCACCAGTCCGCCTTCTGCCTCTGTGGATTTGTCTGGTCAGGACATTGCACGTAAGCAGAATCCTAGGCTTTGTGACCTTTGGTGCCTGGCTTCCTTCACTTCATATAATCATTTCAAGGTCCATCCATGTTGTAGATGCCTTAGTGCTTCATTCCTTTCGATGGCTAATAGTCCACTTTGATCGTGCATTCACCAGTGGGTTTGTTTCCACCTTGGGCTATTGCGAATAGAGTGGCTATGAATATTTGCGCATAAGTTTTTCAAGGTTTTTTTTTTTTAAGATTTTATTTATTTGACAGAGAGAGGCACAGCAAGAGAGGGAACACAAGCAGGTGGAGTGGGAGAGGGAGAAGCAGGCTTCCCGCGGAGCAGGGAGCCCGATGTGGGGCTCAATCCCAGGACCCTGGGACCATGACCTGAGCCGAAGGCAGACGCTTACCAACTGAGCCACCCAGGGGCCCATCAAGGCTTTTGAGTAATTTGTTGGCAGGTGGCTCCAACCTCAGATCTGTGTCCTCCCCATATGCACACACACCACCTCACATGGAGTTGGTGCCAAGTGCTGCCCAAATGCCAGGGCTCTAAAGACAATGAAACCCACTCCTGCCCTCAAGCACGGGACTGTCCAGGAGGAGAGATAGACAACAGAAGGGCACAGGGTGGGAGCCCCTCCCTCTCCTCAGGGGAGCTCGGGAGGCTCCAGTGAAGATGTAAGACCCGCCTGGGGGCAGGGACACTGTGGGCAGTAAGGCTATCGTGTGTGAGAAGGCCCAGGTCATGAGCCAGCAAGGGGCCAGCAGCAGGCAGGAGATCCTATATAAACAAGAGGGGCGCCTTTGAGAGTTTAAGCCGGGGACTGTTGTGCTCAGATCTGATTGCTAGAAAAGTAACGGGGTTTCCAGTCGAGAGAAAACATGAGTCCACACTTTATAATCTGCACATCCCACTCCCCATACAGATAGCAATGACAGAATGTCACATGTAAGACTGGGAGACAGAGCCGCACTGAGAGATAAGACAAACGCACGTGCGGGGAGGGACAGAAGGGCGGCAGGCAGCGGTGGCAGGACAGGTCAAAGCCAGCAGTGGGGCCAATCCCCAGGGTCCCGGCTTCTCTGCAGAACAGCCCAGACTCCAGGCCCCGGGACACTGTGCCCCTGGTGTGCCCCTGTACACGGTCAGAGTCAAGCCCGTCATGCCCGCGGCCTCCTGTGTTTATGCGGACCAACTTCACGCACGTGCGCGTCAGCCCGCACCAGCCGGCGCTGGGAAGGCAGCTGACACAGGGGTACACAAAGGGTGTCCTCCCGCCCACCCTGGCGAGTGCAGCCGTAAGTTCTCCAACACCGGACGTCGCTAGGAAACACTTCTCAGAGACTAGGTGGGCGTCATATTATTTCAAATCAATCTTTCAAACCAACCGCACACCCTGCTCTGGAATGCAACAGACACCCATTTGTGTTACAAACACTGTCCCTGGCGGCCACGGCCTGCCCAAACCACCCCAGGCTCCCAGAGCAAGGCCGGGACCCTCGCCACACCCGGTCCCTTGAGGGGCACAGAGCCCCAGCTCCGCAAGGAGGGTGGCGTAGGGCAGCGGCACTCGGCTGCGGCCACCACGGCCCCGGGCAGTGGGAGAATGGCCAGTGGATCCAACTGGACTGCTCGGGACCGGCCTGGGGGCCTAGAAAGGAGTACGAACTGGAACAATGAGACGAGGCTGGCATTACTGAACTGCACAGCCCGTTTTGAACCCCTGCTCCCGAGGGGGGGCTCCTCAGGTATGTCGAGGCGACCAGAAGACAGTCCCCGGCCGTGAGGGGGGTCGGGGTGCGACCGAGGAGCGCAGCGCTTCTCCATTTACGGAGGGCCCTAAAGCATTCATGCGCACAAGTCCTGCACCAGACCCACCGAGCCGGGCCCTGGGGCCTGGTGCGGGCGGCAGGGCCTCCCTGTCTATTTGCGGAAAGTGCTGCGGTCCTTTCCTACCACCGCTGTGACGAGTCAGTGTTACTAACACTACAGAGCGGCTGCTGGGCTGGGCCAGGCCTGGCTCCTGGCCGTGTCGCTCCACGCTATGCTCTGTCCCCCCATCACCTGCTCCTACCTTTCACCTTCCTGCCCGCCCCCCTCTGCCCCTCTTAGAAGGACCCAGGTGATTACATTTAGGGCTCGCCCCCATAATCCCAGATAATCCCCCCATCTCAAGAGCCTTCACTAAATCACTTCTGCAAAGCCCCTCTTGCCATGTAAGGCCACGCTCCCAGGTTCCAGGGATCTGGACGTGGACATCCGGGGGAGGCCACTCCTCAGCCGTCAGAGATGATTCTGATGGGTACCTCTCACTGGGAACCATGGTCACTAGGTAGCCGAACCCGGCGGCATGTGAGAGCCGCTAACGCATTCATCTGGGGCGCCCACTGGCCCCAGCAAGCCCGACAGGGCTCCCGCTCTCCGGCAGACGTCCAGTCGCATCAGAGGTGCCCAGCCAGCTCCTCTCGCGTCCCCGTCCGCACACATCTGAGAGGCTTCCGTGAGGTCCGGCCTCAGCCCCTGACTGAAGGGGAAGGTGTGGGGACTAACCGGCAGTGTTTCTCTCCTGTCCCAGCCGCTGTCAGCCAATCCAGCGGACTTGCCGCCAAATTTGTCATCCACTGTCACATCCCTCAGTGGGGCTCCGACAAATGTGAAGAACAGCTTGAAGAGACCATCAAAAACTGCCTGTCGGCGGCAGAGGACAAGAAGCTCAAGTCCGTGGCGTTCCCACCGTTCCCCAGCGGCAGGTAAGACGTGCTCCTCCAGGCGGGCGGGGGAGGCCGGGGGTCTTGGAAACACAGAGAAAGGCAGTGTTGGAGAGGAGCGGGGGGCAGAGCTTCTCCGAGAGCCTGCCATGGTCAGTGCCCACATCCCCAGCGGCTGCCCCTGTCAGAACACGTGATCAGAAAACCCCAGGCTCGGGGCTCAGCCGGTTAGGCGTCCGAGCCTGGATCTCGGCTCAGGTCATGACCCCAGGGTTGGTCGGGAGCCTCGCCTTGGGTTCCACGCGGTTGAGGAGCCCACTTAAAAGAAAAGGAAACACCAGGCTCAAAGGCCTTGCTAGTCCGAGTGGGGTCCGTGGCCCGGCCTTGGTGACTCGGCTGTGTTAGAAGGTTGGAGTACGGAATCCCAGACCCCCCCACCCCAGCACTCCCGCCTCCGAAGGCCCGGGGGTCGTGTGGTGCTGGGGTGGAGGGGAGGAGGGCCTGGAGGCTGAGGCCCTCACAGACACGCCCAGAGAATGACAGGCTCTCACCAGGGCTCTGCTCTGGGAGTTAGGAGAAGCGATGGTTCTGATTGTCAGGGACCCCGGCTGAGGGCAAGAGCCACAGCAGGCGGGGAAGGAGGTTGTCTGTCCTCACAGGTTGCCTGTCCTCTCCCGTCACACTCGTACTTAAAGCGAGCTATCGCTTCCATTCTGAACACGCTGTCTCTTAAGAGGTGCCCCTCTGCAACATAGGTAGGGCTTACACACTAAAGATGTTCTCGCAGGGGGAGGCTCGGAGGGGAATCGTGAGGCCTAGCTTCCTGCTGTCATCCCACCTCAAGCTGAGCGAGCAGTGCGGGGTCTCCGCAGCCTGGCCCAGAGGCACCGCGGGCTGAGTTCTTCGTGGAGCCGGGACCACGTGTCCTGGTGGGTGCTGAGCTGGGACACTGCATGCGAGCGAGAATTCCCGTCAGGCAGGCTCGTCCCGCCCCCGCCCGAGGGGCCTCGGTGGCCGACCCCAGAGGACTATGCTGGCTGTGTCCCCGGAGGCGGATGCCATGGCCCAGCCCCCTGACCCTGCCCAGAGTCCCCCACACTCAGATCACAGCGGCACGTCCCTGTGGGTCGGTGGGAGGGGCACTCAGCGCTCACAAAGGAGTTAGGAGACGCACTTTTGAGCGTACATTTTTCCCCTTTCACCAACAACCTGACACCCTACAGAGGTTTCGAGGGAGCTGTGCGTTTTTGAACACCAGCGATTTCAGATGCTGAGCTGGTTGTGGTTTTAAAGCCCGGCTCGACTTGAGGCAGGTGACAGTGATTCATCCGAGCACGAGCGCGGCTCAGCGGGCAGCCCCATGACTTGGGCTGAACGCAGCGTGCCTGTCCGAGCCAGCGTGGCTCGCGTAAAGCAGGGCCTGCCTGCCCCCTCCCAGGCTGCCCCTCCACCTCAGGGCAAAGGAGGTGGCCCCGCCTGCCCGCAGTGACCCCATGAGACAGAACCAAAAGGCCTGGTGCCGAGATCAGAAGGCACCGCGCTGCCCCCGCTCCGGGCTGAGGGCCCAGTTACCCCGTGGGTCCTGGGAACCCAAGTGACATCAGCTCTTCTTTTCCTCCGGCACAGAAACTGCTTCCCCAAACAGACGGCCGCCCAGGTGACCCTCAAAGCCATCTCGGCCCACTTTGACGACTCGAGCGCGTCCTCGCTGAAGAATGTCTACTTCCTGCTCTTTGACAGTGAGAGCATTGGCATCTACGTGCAGGAGATGGCCAAGCTCGACACCAAGTAGCCGCCCGCCTGGCCGGCCGCGCTGGCCCTCGGAGCAGGATCCAAGTCACGGGAGTGGGGCTTTCTTTTTTAAAAGGAGAGAGGAAGGGTGACGGCAGGGGAGTGGAGGGCAGTTGGCAGGGCAGCGGGTCACGGGGGCCGCGGGAGCGGGGCCTGCCCACGGAAGGAGCCCTCTGCCTTTTCTATTCTCATTTAAAAGAGCCTCCGTCTGTAATTAACCAGGTCTCCACAAGGGGTTTCTTTCCATGTGTTTTCTTCCTGTTGTTTTAGAACTTTTTTAAAAGACAGACTTCGTTTTAGATTTATAGCATTGACTTTTACACACACACAAAAAAAATCCTTTCAAAATTCTTAAAACCTTGTTTCTCCTTTTTGCAAGGGAAGAGGGCATAAAAGTGACTTGGGCTTTTGTTGGCTGTGTTCGGTGGCGGCGAGAAGAAAATGAGAAAGGCGTCTCACTGGTGCTTTCCTTTTCTGTTTTTAGTGCCCCCCCCCCATGACATCTGTATCTACTCCTAAGAAGATTTTGCTTCAGGCTTTTGTTTTGTTTTGTTTTTTAAAGAAAAAGAAAATGAAAGGAAAAAAAACAGAAGATCCAGTGTCTTTTCTTACAACACCATAGTCTTTTATTGCAACATTGTCCTCAGTTTAGAAAACTGTGTCCCCACGAGTGGACGCTTGTAAAATGTTATAAACAGAACAAGGCCTGTCACACACAGGCTGAGACGCCCACCCTGCTAGGCCCCAGGTCAGACAGCACGGGATGGTCTGTGCTCTCGCTTCCAGAAGGGGAGCCTGGTTGGCCTTGGTCCACAGGAAGGGAGTCCTGGGTGAAGCCTCCGGCAGGGCAGCCATCCTACGGGAGAGAGGCACAGGTCTCACATAGGCCTAGGGAACAAATGGAACTGACCTGGACCACAGCCCAGGCTGGGAGGACTGAGAACCCCAGTGAGGCGGGGGTCCCCAGGACTCTGGCCAAGGACCCAGAGGTCACCATCAAAAGTGAGCAGGGCCTGCATTTATTCGGATGAAATCACCAACCACTTCCACTATGGAGATTTAACCTATGTCTTCCAAAATAGACTCCCTCCGATGGAAGTCCTCTCCCAGATAGAGTCATTTATGTACCTAAACACAGAGAGTGGCAGGCTGGGCCCCCCCAAGTGTCCCTGGGGTTGGCCAGGAAACCAGAAGCGCAGAACCCCAGAGGTTCCCACAGGGTCCCCCGCCCCCAGCATCAGCTGGAGTTTTGTCCCTTACAAAATCGGCTGAGACAGCAGCCTAGAAGCACACAGGGGTTCACCGGGAAGCCCCGCTCTGCTCCCTGAATGTGAGCCCAATGGCAATCCCACCCAAGGGTCCTGTTAGCTCAGCTGCCTCTCCTTAACTTCTCCAGCGGCTGGCAGGCAGGCCAGGCTTCGGTCTTAACCCACTAGCTTTGTAAAAACTCACTCTCGGTTAGGACGGGCTAACCGGGAGGGGAGTCTATCTAATTCTTCCTTCCTAAATGTAACCTATGGTATATAATCAGGACCTAGAAAAGGAAATATAGAAAGTCTCGTGAAAATGAAAGACTGTAGGGACTAATAGTTTGAAATTAGGCTCCTATTAACAACCTGAGTATTGCAGAATGCATGAGGTTTCCCTCCCAGGATGGGACGGGAGAGGCTCAGGATGCAGGCCATTTCTACCCCAGCTCCCCTTCCTTAGCTGGTCTCACCGTGCATGCTCCCCTTCCTGCCCTAACAGACAGCATGCCAGCCACCAGAAGACTCTGCTCTCTCCTGCTCTGAGAGCCCTGAACCCCCACACATGTGCATGCCCACACATGCGCACACACACAAACATGCACGCACACGCACGAGGAGCCTGGGGTAGAGAAGGCCGCTATACCCTCCCCAGGACCAAGTGAACCCTCAGCCAGCACAGCTGCAGGCCAAACTCTCCAAACCCAGGAAGAATCCTCTAGGAGGTGTCTTTTTTCCAATGGCTCTCTCTCTCCCTCTCCCGGTTTTGGCTTTCTGTAAGTTGTGTGTCTGATCAGTACATCCCTGGTGTCTTACTCCAGGAAAAGGGCATCTGCCCTTTGGCATTCGTCGGGCGGGTACCGCCCGTCAAGCACTCTGTCCCCCCAGCAGTACCTCGTCTCCCGCCCCGCTCCAGCTCAAGGTGGAGACTGCCGCATGGTCTTCCAGCTTGAGGAGACGAACAGGTCCCGGCTCTTGGCCAGCCGAACCATGAGCCGCCCCACGTAGAAGCCACTGATCTGGCCCACGCCGTCGTTTCTCCCCATGGCCAGGAGGAACGTCAGCGCCCCTGTGGAGCAGACACGTGCGCACAAACCAGACCCCCGCTCGCCATCCGTGGGCCTGCAAGTCCCAGGGCACAAACCCTCCCGGGGCCTCCTGTGTGAGGACAGGGAAATGCGTAAGACTTTCGGGGAGACAGGCGAGGCCCTGAGGTACGCGGGGCTTCCTTACCTGGCTTGTAGGCCTTGAGGGGCCTCTGCTTCATGGAGTTGACGATGTTGGCCACGGCAACGCCGGCATGCAGGCCAGCGTGATAGGCCATCTTGGGCTCCTTCACGTCTGCACAGTCGCCGATGGCGTAGACGTGGCTGCAGCCCTCCACCTGGAGATGCTCGTTCACTCGGAGCGCGCCATTGCTGGCCAGGTGACTCTCTGCCGGGCAAAGCCAACCCAGAAACCCTGTCACGTGGCCGGGAGAACATGGAGAAGACACCCGTCTGGGGCTGGGTAAGCCACCCTCCAAAGGCACAGCTCCAGAGGCACACATCCACCTCATTTAGTTCTGCCTCAGTCCCCACCTCAGAACTCTTCCTGCAAAGCAAGGTGACTGTTCCGGGATGGAAACCGGTAGCACGTGCCGTTTTCCACAACACGCACGACCCTGTAAAGTCACTGCCTGACAGGGACCGTGCTGCGCCTCTGCCAAGTCTTGAATTTCCCTTTGAACAGGGAGCAGATTTTTTTTTTTTTTTAAGATTTTATTTATTTGAGAGAGAGAATGAGAGAGAGAGCACATGAGAGGGGTGAGGTCAGAGGGAGAAGCAGACTCCCCGCCGAGCAGGGAGCCCGATGCGGGACTCGATCCCGGGTCTCCAGGATCATGACCTGAGCCGAAGGCAGTCGCCCAACCAACTGAGCCACCCAGGCGCCCAGGGAGCAGATTTTTTAAGTCAATGCAGGGCTCTAGTAAATGCTAAACTTTTTAAGGGACTTAAAAGAATTATTTTTGAAAATATAACATTAAGACAAAGGGGTGTAAAATTCTGGGATCTCTGGCCATTATAGGCGCTCGATCCCACCCCCACGCACGGCCTGGACTAGCTTCCTTCTTCTGGGACCCGCCAGTTCTTTCCCGCAGGACCCACACAGGTGCTCCTCGTCCAGGAGGGTGCTACGGAGTAAATGATAGCGACCTGGGGACACAGCAATCATGGGGCCTGAGGAAGAGTCACAGAGTCTCCAGCTCACCCACGGAGGCCAGGACTCCACCCCCCGCCCCCCAGCCTCCAGTTAGCTGGGGAGTTCACTATTGAACCTGAGGCCACATTATTTCCTCTACTCCCCAAATGGTCATTCCAAGCTCAGTGGCCAAAGGTCTGGATCAGGGTCTGGGGAGAACAGCACACCTGTGAATAAACAGTAAAAAGCCTGACTCGGGAATTTTGTCTCCTCCATGTTCACAAAAAGTGAAACAATTTATCTTTCCTTCGCTCTGAAACCTGTTCCCAGCTCTCACCACGAGGGGGCGGGCTCCGATTTTTGAAAGACTGGTCACTTGGGCCACCTTGGCCTAAGTCATGGCCAAAATGCAGGAAGGCATAGCAAGAGTCGACCCAGGCCTGAATGTAAAGTTTGATGTCACCATTCAGAAGAGACCTGAGCTGTTGGGAAGGAGGGGGGAGGAAGGCAGGGCAACGCTGATTCCAGCGGAGAGAGGCCTGCAGGGCCTGCGGCGGCCGCACAGTAAGGAGGCGGCCTGGGGAGCAGGCCCCGGCTCCTGCTTACCGAATGCACTGTAGTAGGCCGAGCTGTTGATCTTAATACCGTTGCAGACGATCACCAAGTTGGTGGCCACCTCTGTGCCTTTGTCCGTGTGCACCCGGATGCACTCTCGATACTCATTAAAAGGCAGATCCTCCAGGTTGCTCACCCGCTCACCTGTCAAGTGAGATCCATGAGTGGGAGGCCGGCAGGGGGTAGGCACAGCATCAAGGGGCCCAACAAAGCGATCCTTCCCTCCTGCCTTCTTCCCCGCCCCTCTGCCAGTCCACCCTGCTGCCCCAAGAAGCACAAGGTGGCCATCCGACCCCCACAGAGGATCCAAAGGGAGGAAAGTCCCCAGAAGCAGTGTGGGAAAGTGAAGCTGGATTTCTCAAGAAGTTCTGGGAAAAGCAATTTGAAGGGGACCTCAACCACACATCCTGGAATGTCAGCCACACCACCCTAACCAGGCAGCAAGACCCTCCAGGCGCACCGCCGACTAAGGGGAAAGCAAGAAAAGTCCAGAAGCTCGCCCACACTCTGCACTGCCCCAGAGTAAAGGTGGTCCCAGTATTGCACGGCCAGGTACAAGGAGACCAAGAGCCGGGAGGGGTCTGCACAGAACAGACACGTCACCCCTCCCTGTGGAAAGCACAGAGGCTGAGCCCCGCGAAGTGTGCCGGTCACGGCGCCAGGGTTAGGGACCCACTGTCTAGACAAGCTGGGTGGTGCTCTCCCCTCCTGCTCTCCACAAAGCTCACACTCCTCAAACAAAAAATACAAACCAAAAAAGAAAAAAAAGCCCAGTCCACCACAGAGACGGCATAATTCAGGTCAAACCCTTGAGGTGATTTTTTAAAGCACTCAGCGAAGTGGTCCCACCTCCGCCGGACAGTGTGCCGCCTCCTGGCCTGGGGGCGCCGTGAGTACCAGGGCCTCTGCCCAGTCTGCAGACAGGCACACCCCCCAGCTGGACAAGGCTCAAATGCTCAAGCCCAGGACCCAGAGGGCCCTCGAGCTGGGGCAGTGAGCCTCTGAGCCCGATCTCGCCGGGCCAGGGGGAGGGGTGGGCAGGGGGGCGGGGGGGGGCACGTACTCAGCAGCAGCTGCACGCCTTTCTGGAGCAGGATCTCCTTCGCTTCCTGCCGGACGCAGGGCAGGATCTCCTTGTCGGCAAGGGCCACTTGGGAGTGGATGAGAGTGACCTGGACAAGCGACCACGGGGCAGAGAAGGAGCCACTGAGTCTTACAAAGAGAGGCTCACAAACGCGTCGGTCTCTCTCCCCCACCTCCTCCCCACCCACCGGTTTACTGAGGCCCCAGAGAAGTCATCTGCCCAATGCCGGAACCAGGTAAGGCGAGCTGGGCCGGAGCCCACATCTGGTCAGAGACTGTCTCAGAAGGAGCCAGCGCTCCACAGTCCACAGCCACCCACCCCAGAGCCGCGGGGGGATTATTTCCAAGGGTCTCGGGCACTGATGATTACAGTCTATACATAAGCCATGGCCATTCTGGCCGCAAGTCAGGCTGGCGTTCACGTTACGGCCAGCTCTAACACTGGCACTCCCAGCACGTCTCCTTGCCATCTGGGTTAGCACCGGGAAGCGGGGGCAGCCTGGCACGAGGCTCGAAGCTCGGGCTTTAAAGCCAGACTGTCGGAGCTGAAGTCTCCTCTCAGATACTCACTCGGACACCCCCCAAAGAGTCCGTCAAACAGGGATCCAGTGCCACCCACAGGCAATTAGGCAATTTGTGACGATGAATTGAGAAAACATGTAGAAAGCACATAACTCAGCACATACTGAGTCCTGAATAAAGGGTGGACACTATTACTTGTATCTGTCCATAGACATATGCAAGTCCTACTGAGTGGCTTACAACTTCAGCCTGGTCTTCACCCCATACATCCAAATTTAAAAACTTTTACATCAATCACTCATAATAATGTCCAATACTTTGTCAGAAAACAGCCATATAATTAAATTAGCCCATACTGATCTTTTCAAAACCAATCTGCCTTTCCCCCGGGAGAAAGAACCAGACACGGTGTCCATGGGGTTCTCAGAAGCCGGTCTAGCATCAGCTGCAAGCAAGCTCTTGCCTCAAGGACCCATAATTACCGCTCATTACTCGGCCCTCTGCCGAGCCTCTACCTCCTGTGGACGGTCTCTTTCTCTCCAGGGCTCCGGGCAGGTCCTCCATCCCCCCATCATTCAAGGGGCGCTCCTGCCACGGGCGCTGGCCAGTCCTTCCCCCGCACGGGCAGTGAGGGGGCTGCACGGCAGGGACCCCCCTGCGGCTACTCAGGCCAAGGGCTACCGTCTCGCGAAGACCAAAAGGCCGCCCTTGCCCCAGACAAAACGCCACCTGCGGGTGTCTCTGACCAGGCCAGCTGCCACCAAACAGAGGGAATCAAAGTCTATGTTTATGTCTCAAGAAGCTGAACACCGCAGGGGACGCGAGCTCACCTTCTGTAAGGTAGCCCTCCTGGGCTCACTGCCCCTGGTTGGACCGGAGGGCAGGCCCCCTCCCTGAATGAGGACCGGCCCCAGCTCTGCGGGACATCAGGGGACTCCCCACTGCAGAGAGCGGGGGCCCCGGAAGCACGCGATCCCACTCCGCGATCGTGGAGCGCCGCCGCCCGGGCCCCAAGCCAATCCCCCATGCTCCTTGCACAGAGACGCCGGGCTCTGAGAGTCCAAAGGCAAGGCCGTGTGCCCACCTCCTTCTCGGGGAATTCAGTCTTAACCTCCGCAGCCATCTCCACTCCAGCAGAGCCGCCTCCCACCACCACCACCGACTGTGAGCGCTGGACCTGGAGCGGAAGGAAGCGTGAAACACACCCTCAGACCCAGCCTGTCCTGTGGCTCGGCCAGGGTGGGGGCTCCTTGGCCAAAGAAGAGTCCCAATTTGGGGTCCAAACGTGCTTCCTCGGGGCCAGGTCGTGCTGGGCGTCTCCCCGCATGTTCTCGCTTGCCCACCATTCCACCATTCAGGTGACCACGGCCCAGGTCTGTCTGAGTTCATAGCCAGGATCCTAACCTCCACACTCACATCCGTTCATGACGGTGCAAGAGGCTCCCCAGGCTTCTCAGAAGCTTGGCAGAGTGGGCAGGACCTGGCCATAGTCACGCAGCTGCACTCGCCGTGGGATCCTTCTCTGGGGCTCCACTCCCCATCTTTCAGCAGTGCCAGACCCTGCCCACCCCTCACTGAAAACTGCCTGAGGTCACGGATCCACGCCCGCTCCGTAAGACACAAAGGCCTGTGCAAACGGGACCCCAAGAGAGACAAGTCGGGGATACACCAGTCACAACATGAGGCCTGGGGTGCTCCTACCCAGACTTCGAGGAGAGACAAAGGTCCCCACCAGGGCGTCTCTTCCTACTAACTCTCCATCTCCATGGCTGCGCCCGGGGGTCTCCTTGCTGCCGCCCCACATGTCCCCATAGCGGTTCCCCTCTCGCGGGGCCCCGCCTGACCCTCGCGGCCCACCCCATCCCCCACCCCCCACCCCCAGGCCAAGAGGCCGCTCACCTGCTTCACCATGTCCTCGTAGGCCTGGATAGCAGCCTCCCGGCTGGAAACCTGAGTAAACTTGCCCGGAAAGAGCCCGGTGCTGCCAGTGGCCAGGATGAGGTGTGAGAAGGACAGGGCCTGTGGGGGGCGGGAGAAAGGAGGTGAGGGCAGGCTTGGGCTTCTGCCTGCGATCGGGCCCACCGGGCAAGCAGCACCAGCGGGGGAGAGGCCTGGGCACACCGCGGCCACCCTCCTCTGAAAGGAGCAAAACCATCATGCTGAGCAGGCCAAGAGGAAGCACTAGAACCCGGGCCATACCTAAGCGAGCAGCGCGCCCGTCCTGCTGGGGCCGCCACACACAGGACTGGGAGGGGTGTGCTCCCACAGCGGCGGGCAGGCCGGGCACGGGAGGCTGCAGTGCGGACAGCAGAACTCTTAGCCTCCTGTGTGCAGTCCGTTAGGAACCTCCTAGGTATTTCCCAAGAAACTTCCCCTGCTCCCACAAAAAAAGGGAGGGAGGGAGGGAAATTCTGTTTGGAGCCTAAATATAGAAAGTTGGCAAAATCAGCACTGCTCTGGTGGGAGGGGGAGCGGAGGGGCTGTAGCCCTTCAGCCCCTTCTCCGTGGGGGCCCAAGATGCCCTCATGATCCCTCCTAGGGCTCTGGAAAGCACTGCCCAAAGCACAGGACAAGGAGACTCGGTCATCTTTCCAACTGAGAGATTCCTCAGGCCTAAAACTAATTCAAGGAAGACAGATTCGCACGAAGTCACTGAGGACAGAAACTGTGTCCCCTAGGGCCGGGCTGGAGGCGGCCCTTACCATGACATATGGCAGCTCCCTGATGGATCCCCAGTCACTGCAGGGGTATGCCAGGCTCTGGGCTCTTCCCAGGGCTGGGGAATGCCGAGATGAGTGAAAGCCTCTCTGCCCCAGTGAGCTCCCAATCCAGGGGATGTGGGATCATGTGTGCGCCTAGCCTTTGATTCCACATAGCAGGGAGGGCCCCCACAGGCCGGCTGGGCTGGGGCCTGGTCTGGGACACTAGCTTTCAGAGTGTAGACTCTGGGGTGAAACTGTCTGGGTTCAAATCCTGGCTGAGTCTCTTACCAGCTGTGGGACCTTCAGCAAGCCATTTAACCTCTCTGTAAAAAGGCTATACCACCTCCCCCACGGAGTCATGGTGGGCATGAAATGAAACTAAGTAAGGCTTGGGGTGCCTGCATGGCTCAGTCATTGGGCGTCTGCCTTCAGCTCAGGTCATGATCTCAGGGTCCTGGGATTGAGCCCTGCATCGGGCTCCCTGCTTGGCGGGAAGCCTGCTTCTCCCTCTCCC